CAAAAAAAAAAAAAAATTTAAATTTTAAATAGTCTCATGATAGCTCATGAAAAATAAGCATAGTGAGCCTAGTTTCATGTTTTATTCATGTGCCTTAAATCTCCTGATAAACACATGAAAATCAGCTTGCAGATTTCTCAACGAATCTAATTCCATCAAAATACAGGAGAATCTAAATCCACAGAGGAAGGCAATAAGAATGATGGACCTGGCCTGTGTCCAATGTGAAAATGTAATATGGAACAAGACCCAGACCCAGGCTCAGGGAAATCAGTGTGACTAGAACATACGGGCTCAGCAATTGCCACACCAAGTGCGTCACAGGGGCAGATGGGCCACTCTCATTCTCAGTGGTTAGGCCTCTGCATCAAGTATCATCTTCCACTGAGGATGGGATAGTATAAGGCTCTGGGCTCTGAGGAAGGAGTTGACCCATGGTGTGGGGAGCATTGGGTTTGGAAGAGTTTGCACCTTTATACAGTGTGGTGGTAAAGCAGACTAAGAAACAAGAGATTAGCCAGACACACCTCTGGCTGTGTGTGTGGCTGTGTGTGTGGGCATCCCAGGAGACAATTAGACCATAAGGCTCCTGAAATAGTGGATGGTTTAATCCCTTGATGGATTCTTAATGTATGGCATTATGGGGGGGGGGGATGAAAGGAAGGAGGCAGGACCTAAAACACTGGGATCATGTGAGGAGGGACTGCATCTTGACCCAGATTCTTCCTCTTTCTCCCTTTTTGCATCTATCAGGGAGTGAATAACTGCCTCACTACACACTTGCCACAGTGGTGCTCTGAGTGACTGCATGAGGGCATGCAGCCATGACCATAAGCTCTGAAATCATAAGCCAAAAAAAAACCTCCCTCTATTAAGTTGTTTCCACGAAGCATTTGGTCACCGTGATGAGAAAGGTGACTGGGAGGTTTCCCATGCTATACCTGCACCTGCCTTTGACACTTTTAAAAGTCACAAATTTAGCTCTTTTTGGTTGGACACCTTTCCCAAGTCTTGGTGGGTTTTGCGGTGGTTGGTTACTTGACTTTGGTTTTGGTTTTGGTTCAGGTCTGATGCTCCTGAGCCCGGAGCTTCCGGGATAAAACTGAAGTAACTATATAGTCTTCTATACACCATTGCAATGAGAGATCAATGCACCAATGCAGGAAATAGGGAGATATGAAACATACAAGAAACACACAGCTAACTAATATTCAATGGTATTAATGATAGGTCAGCACTACCAACAGCACCAAAGAGGGAGGTTGTTGAGAGAGGTTCTCATGTAACCTAAGCTGGCCTGGTACTTACTGTGTAATGGAAGATAACTTTGGACTCCTGATTTTCCTGCCTCCGCCTTACAAAGATTTCAGGAGTGTACCACCATGTCTGGTTTATACAGGGCTGAGATAAGAACCCAGGGCTTCGCCAAGTGTTGGTGGCAGCGGCACACGCCTTTAATTCCAGCACTTGGGAGGCAGAGCCAGGTGGATCTCTATGAGTTCAAGGCCAGCCTGGTCTAGAGAGTGAGATCCAGGACAGGCACCAAAACAACACAGAGAAACCCTGTCTTGAAAGAAGAAAAAGAAGAAGAAAAAGAAGAAGAAGAAGAAGAAGAAGAAGAAGAAGAAGAAGAAGAAGAAGAAGAAGAAGAAGAAGAAGAAGAAGAAGAAAGAGGAGGAGGAGAAGAATAAGAACAAGAACAACAAGAACAAGAACAACAAGAACAAGAACAAAAAGAAAGAAAGAAAGAAAAAAGAAAGAAAGAAAGAAAGAAAGAAAGAGAGAGAGAGAGAGGAAGGAAGAAAGAAAGAAAGAAAGAAAGAAAGAAAGAAAGAAAGAAAGAAAGAAAGAAAGAAAGAAGAGAAAAGAAAAGGAAGGAAGAGAAAAGGAAAGAAAAAAAACACAAGGCTTCATACATGCTAGGAAACTCTCTATTAACTTAGCCATACTCCTGGCCCTGTTTTTGTTTTTATTGTTTATTTGTGATTTTTTTTACATTTATTTATTTATTTACTGTATATATGGGAGCAGCCCACATGCTATCATGAGTGGATGGAGGCCAGAGGACAATCTGTAGCAATTCCCTCTCTTCTTCCACCATGTGGGTCCTGGAGATCAAACTTAAATTGTCCAGCTCAGTGGTTAGCATCTTTATCAGCGGAGTCAACTTGCAAGAAAGTCTGGTACTTACTATATAGCCGAGGTTAGCCTCCAAATCACCAAGTCCCTCTGCTTCAGCCTCCCAAGCGCTAGGATGACAGGGCCACATCTGATGGTTTGGAGTAGAGAATCAACTTTGGAAGGAGGTGTGTACTCAGAACGTGGCTCTTTTGTTTAAACCACCAAAAGGCTATAGTTCTCAGACTCAGAGAGTTTCCAAGTGTGGTAATGCAGACCTGCAATCTCAGCCCTTGTGAGATGAAGACCGGAGAATCTGAAGTTCAAGGCCAGCCTGGGCTACATAGTGAGTTCCAGGTCAGCTGAGCTACAGAGCAAGATCCTGTCTCAAACAAAACAATAAAACAAACAAAAACAGGGAGAGTAGAAGCATTATTCAGAAAGCTTATTTTAAAAAAAAAAGACATATCCCACTTCCCATTCTTTCCAACTGCTTTAGCAAATGGAAGGTCCAAGCACCTGATCTGTCTATCACAGTTGATCCAGACTATATTATTATTATTATTATTATTATTATTATTATTATTCCAGAAACAGGGCATCATATATTAGCCTAGGTGGGTCTGGAACTCACCCAAGCTGGACTTGAACTCCAGGTAATCCTTCTGCCTCAGCCTCCCCAGCGCTGGAATCACAGGTGTTTGCCACCATGCCTTCTGAAAAGCATTGCTCTGAAGCATCATTCATTGCCTTAGGAACAGGGCTAGGTTGCACCTCCCATGAAAACAACTGCTGTTTGATTTTTGGAAACCCTGGGTCTCTTACAAAACACTGTTTTGCCTGTATATCAGACACCTTCATCCTTGTAAGGAAGTACATACATGTCAACTAATTGGATCGCCTGTCAATGCCTACTGTCTTCTGAGACCCAGTTCCCCAGCACTATGTTGGGAGAGTCTCTGCTTCCCTCCCTGGGCTGAGCTTCGTTGCTTTCCAGGTTTTAACTTCTACCCTCCAGCCTTTTAGAACCAGGGATAGCCCCGTGCCTGACCAGTCCAGCTTCCCGGTTGGTTTACCTATACACCCTTCCCCACAATGAGGAAGAAGGCTGGTGTGCAGGTGAAAGATGCCCTGTAAGAGATTCTCTTGAAAGAGAATCGGGGTTTGCAGAAAGCAAACCTTAGTTATTTTGATGCGTTTCGTTTTTGTTTTATTTGATTTGAATTTTGCGGTACAAGGGATTTGAACCTAAATCCTCCTCACTCACACAAGCTAGGCAAGAGTCTACCACTGAGCTACATCTCCAGCTTTCGTGCCTTTTAAAAAAATACAGAAAGGTTCCAGTGTCCTCCTTTACATGTGGAAGTATTTGCAGTCGGCTTTCTGTGTTTTGTGCTCTTGCCAGAAGCTCTGCTGGCACACCGCATGCGAACGCCCGGAGCACCCAGCGGCGCGCGCCTCTCCACCACGCTTAGCAGGTCGGTTACGCCAAGTCTACAGCTCACCGCTAGGAAGGAATAAGGCCCCCAGGCTGCCCCTCACCGCCTACCACCGGGCATCCTTCCTACATGCATGCGACACTGGGAAGCAGTTCCTTAGGGCAGACAGGGACCAGCACTGCGCCACGCCCCCTCGCGCACCAACAGGTTCTTGGAATGCGACCAGCGGGCCGTTGAGGCAGGCGGGCGCGCCACCTGCTGTCCAAGGCGAATAAGGGACGCGAATGAAAAACGTTGCTTGGCAGTTCAGCTTGGATCTTCTCTGCAGCCCTTCCCCTGGCTCCCAGTTGAGGAAATGTTCTGGAACTCTAGGTTAAGATTACTTAACCTGGGATCTGTGTGTTGGCTTCAACGACTCAAGGAACCCTCCAAATATTGTTCAGGGTTTATCATTTTTCTGGAAAAGAAGTAGCTTTCCTAAGTCTGACTAATACTGCTATGGACTGTGTACAAACACACACACACACACACACACACACACACACACACACACACACACTTTCTGTTGGGTAAATACCTAAGAGTGGTATTGCTAGGGTGTCTGATACATGCATATTTAACTTTAAAAAATTTGCCTGACTGTTTCTAATATTGCTGGGCCAATTTGCATTCCTGCCAACAAGGCATGAGATAGCTAGTTTAACTCGGCCTCCTCGCCAGCACCAGGCACATTAGTCTGCTTTAATTGTAGTCATTCTGATAGGCTGCTGGTGCTCTCCAAGGGCTTCCATTTGCATTTCCCTAATGACTAATAATGTCGAATGTCATTTTACGTGCTTATTTGCCCTCCATACATTTTTGATAGTGTATCCAAGACTGCTCATTTTTATTAGATATTTTCATCTTAGTAAGATGTACCATTTCAAGCTGGGGTGCAATATCTATTTATGGGGCTGGAGAAATGTTTCAGCTATTAGGAGCACTTACTGCTCTTCCAGAAGACCCAGATTCAATTCCAAGCATCCAAGTCTGACATCCTCTCTTGGTCTTTTCAAGTATCCACACTCAAGTACACATATCCACTCATAAGTAAAAATAAAAATATTCCTTATTTATATTGTATGCAGTTCCATATATATGTTTCTCTGTGTGTGTGTGTGTGTGTGTGTGTGCGTGCGCGTGCGCGCGAGCACGTGCGCACACACACACGTACATGCTTTACAAATATTTTCTCCTAGTTGATACCATGTATTTGACCTCCTTAATTATGTCCTTTGAAATGCAAGCATATTTAATTTTGTCAAAGTGTAATTTATTAATACCTTCATTTTTGGCTCATGCTTTTGTTTTTTTTTGTTTTGTTTTGTTTTGTTTTGTTTTGTTTTGTTGTTTTTGGTGTTTGGTTTTTCAAGACAGGGTTTCTCTGTGTAGTTTTGATGCCTGTCCTGGAACTCACTCTGTAGCCCAGACTGGCCTTGAATTCACAGAGATCGGCCTGCCTCTGCCTCCCTAGTGCTGAGATTAAAGGTGTGCGCCACCACTGCCTGGCTGGCTCGTGTTTTTTAATGTCATATAAGTAACTTTTCTATTTAAAAAGAAGGCAGAGCTTTTCCCTTTAGCATCCATCAGTGGGGCAGTGGCTGCCAAGATGTTCATCTTTTGATCGCAGCAAGAACCACAAAAGGCATTTCAATGCACTTTCTCACATACTGAGGAAGATCGTGGCTTCCTCTCTTTCCAAAGAGCTGAGCCAGAAGTACAATGTTCAGTCTGTGCACCTCCGAGTGGATGGTGAAGTTCAGGTTGTACGTGTTCACTGCAGAGGTCAGCAGATTGGCAGTAGTCCAGGTGTACAGGAAGAAAGATGTCACCTATATTGATCAGGTGCACTGAGAAAGACTAACGGCACAGCTGCCCATGTGTTTATCCATTCACCCCAACAAGGTGCTCATCACTCAAGCTGGGGGTGTATGTGCCACAGGAGTGAAGTACTGAGGAGGCAGAAGACGGTATTGGATTGCCTATAATCCTAGTATTTGGGAGGCTAAGGTAAGAGAATTGCCACAAATTCAAGGCTAGCTTGGGCTATGAGGTGAGTTCTAGGCCAGCCTGGACTACATAGCTAGACCTAACTTCAGAACTCAAGAAGAAAGAGGAAATCAGTTGTACTGAGTGGGAAAGTGATGAGATGAACTTTACTTAAATAGCAGAGAACTGTAGAGACAGCATAGATCCTGCTGTGGGTACCCTACCTAACTGCTGAGGGTTCGAAACAGTATACCACCCAGTAAGTGATGTTAGGTCTCAGGAATTGAAAATAGAAGCTACAGCCCTCAAGATCATAAAATTATATTCTGTGGATAAAAATTTGGTTAATACTCAGGCTGTTACCAGCAGTGTCCAATCCTAGCCCTGTCCCTATGTCACTGTCACAGTGAGCCAGAAGGAAGTCTGTGGTCTGGAAATTGTCACTGAGGACAGAGGAGCTGCCCTCTGGTCCAAGACCTTTTGTGCTGATCTTGAGGAAAAATGGGACTATGTCACAGAATCCTCTCAATGGGGATTGGGAGAAGCCTCCCAGCTTCTGCTTTATCCTCCCGAGGTGAGATAATGTTCCAGAAATTGTCTTTCATAATATCTACTCACACTCTTCCAGGAGGATGCTGCAGATGGAGTCGGTTCCTCTGAAAACCGAGTGTGGCACAAATGACTCAAGCGTCCTCAGATTTCTTCCTATCATATCCAGGAGCCCTTCAAAGCAGTTGTTTCCAAGAAAGTCATCCTCAAACACAGGTCTAAGGATCTAAAGGGTTGGGCTGGTGAGGTGACTCAGCAGGTAGAGGTGTTTGCCAGCAGCCCTGATGATCTGAAGTCAATCCCCAGGACCTTCATGGTAGAAGGAAAGAACTGGTGTCTCCAAAGTTGTCCTCTTTTATACACACACTCACACTGGCATGAACACACACACACACACACACACACACACACACACACACACACACACCAAAAAATTAAGATCTACAGGGCTATTACTTATAAAGAATAACAAAAACAATTTGTTGTAGTTAGCCCTTTGCAAAACTTCCCGAGACGAGAAAATAGAGAGCTGGGAAATGACTCATTGTGTAAGATGCTTGCCACACAAACAGAGTTCGCATCCCCAGAACTTATGTGAACATGGATGTGATAGTACATGGCTCTAATGCCAGCACCTGCCCCAAGATGGGAAGCAGAAACAGAACCCCTGGAAGATCACAGGCCAGCTACCCTGATCTATAGTAGCAGCAAACAAGAAGAACATGTCTCCAATAAAGTAGAAATCAAAGATGGATATCCAAGGTTGTGCTTAGGCCTCCCCATGTGCACAGTGATACATGCTCATGTCTAATTAGAAATCTGAGAGAGCTTTTGGTATCTTTTAAGCTAATGCCCTGAAAACTCCCACATTTTGACATAGATTGCTGAATTAAGTAGCAAACTAGACTGTGTGGTAAAAAGGGTTGGGGATGATGACAGGGCAGGGAATTTATAGGAAATGCTAGCCAGGTATAGTAGTACTTGTCTATAATTTTAGCACTCAAGAGATAGAGGCAGGCAGATCAGGAGTTCAAAGTCATCCTGACCTACATAGCAAGTTTGAGGTAGTCTGGAGTACATAAGAAAAGAAAGAGAGAGAGAGACAGAGACGGAGGGAGGGACGGAGGGACGGAGGGAGGAAGGGAGGAAGGAAAAAGAAAGGAAGAAGGAAGGAAGGAAGGAAGGAAGGAAGGAAGGAAGGAAGGAAGGAAGGAAGGAAGGAAGGTGTGGGAGCTCGTTCTCAGGTTCCTCGTGGCTTTACCCAGCAGTTCCACATAGAGGATGATTAGGACCATGGGCCTGAGTGCAGGTGTCTGAGATGGTCTGCACTTGGCTGTGCTGGGGGAGGAGGTCTTTTGCTCCACCCCTTGG